CTGTTCTTAAACTTCATATAGCTTCATCATTTTAAACATATTCCACTATTTTATTGATGATATCAAGGTACTAATGAATTTTAAGTTAAATAATTTTGATAATATCAACAGCTAGAATTTCCCGCTACCATCACCTTTATAAATCTTCTAACGTCATCACGGTACTTCCCGTTCCACTCAGCCCACCTACAAAATCAAAGAAACCAGTGTATGATTGTGTGGAACCTAAATGTTTGTCTAGACATAGTAAAACTTATATTAAGGAACTGCAGAAGAAAACAAAATAGCAACACCAAATGTTTCTGCCATTGTTGCATTTGATCTCAGCATATTATATACATTCCATAAAATTCTTTGAAAGTTCCTTGTGAAGTATCTCAGCATATTGTATATGCAGTCTGATGGAGGCCTAGAATCAGCACTCAGTATGATAGCCTTTTTTATAAAAATTAACATGTGCATATAAATACAATGAACCACTGGTTATGCTAACATCAAATGAACAAATTGATAGAGAAAATCTTATGCTATCAATTCAATTGGAGTTCTCCAATGACGACAAATTTATAAGTCACTCAAATATCAAGTGCATGTTTGGTAAATTTTGCAAGTGCTTATAAATTGGTCAAACTCTATTTTATCAACACATTTCATAAGACCCACAACTTTTATCCACAAATTTCAGAGAACCATAGCTTATATGCATTTAAAAGCACTACCATGGTTATGGAACCGATAACATATATTGACACACGCTCTGATTTGAAAATGGAGCCCTTTCCCTCAATATCCAAAAATATTCAACCACCACTTAACCAGCCACCTACCACCCAACAACCACCTATTCCGGTCAACGCCGGCGACGGCAATAAGGTATCGATCGGCAAAACTCTCCCTACCGGTCTCACGCCACATACCCATGGCCAATCCGGCCAATATCTACACTCAACAGGCGGCGGCCCTAGGTGGAAACCCTAGCACCGCCGCTCGAACAGGTGCAGCAATCAGTGGCGAGACGATCTAGGGTGATGTGGGGACCTCTGGCGACGGCAACCATGGCAAAGGAAAGCTTAATATAGTGGAGCGACCTGGGTTCCAAACCCAAATTTACCACAATCACGCCATTTTTCCTGCAGACGTGCCTGACCGGTGGATTGTGCAGACATTTTCCGACGTCGGAGGGCATGTCGCGTGGGCCACGCGCTGCTCTAGCGGCAAACCTGCAGGCGCGTGTGGGCCACACGCCGCAGCCGAAAAACCTGAAAATCAGCACGACATTTCCAGATTACCCAGTAGGCCTATTTTATCATCAGATATGCCGCTTATACACATTCAAAGGAAAAAGTAGGCAGAAATACATGTGTTATTCAATTAGCGATTTAGAGTCGAGGCAAAGGAATTTGTGGTGTCTGTTAATGAATCAAGTAATATTAGGATAATTGAGTGGGGCTCGAGGATGTCCGCAATCTATATGGAGAGGTTTGGTGTACTTTGGATGGTGAATTTGTTGGATAAATTGAGAGTGGCTAGTAAGTTGGAGGATTTTGTCTCCAAGTTTAATGAGTCATCAAGAGCTTTCTTGGCACAACGTTGTGCGAACAGATGTGCTAGTATTTGACGATAGCACAGTATGGAGAGAGGCGTCGGACGGGAGCTGTGATGGTGCCGGAAGGGATGAATGGAGAGGTATGAGCATCGTTTTCGCGGGTGTTTAAAGCTGTTGTAGATTCATTTATAGCCAGAGATAAGGCTGATGAAAGACATCGATGAGGGATGACTTATGCCGAAGTTACGGCAAACTTACATACATTGCATAAAGTTGATCAACGGGGGCTAGTGCGAAATGACAGGACGTATAATGTGAGGGAGAATGACGATCATAGTACGGTGCATAAGCCTATGGAGACACATGCAGAAGGCTCACATGGTGGAATATTGAACAGTGCTGAAATAAGGGCCCGCGTTCAGGCGATGAAAGAAGAGTTGGATGAGTTAATCAGGCTAGTGGGATGTGGGTCTAAGGCGAGCCCTAGGATATTATATTGTCATCAGTGTAGGGTTGGCGTGGATGAGCCTCTAGCTAACGAAAAACAATTAGCGAGCTTGGTTCCTAAGGAGGTATCATAGAATGTAGCCCATATTAAAGACAAGCAGGGGATGATAAAGCCTAATTGCAAGCATCAGGCACGGACCGAAGCAGTATATTCCGGAAATGATGATGGGATCGAAGTGGTGGAGTTAGATACAGATGACAAAGCTTCGGGGTTCATAGCTAATGATGATGGGATCGAGGAGATGGTAAATGTATTGGAAGAAAATCCCGCTTCGGGAGTCCTGAAAGAGCACGATGCGGCTCGTGCAGCAGTTATGGTTGGGAACACATACAATAGAAGGCACATTAAGTCCCTAAAAGAAAAAGAACTAGGGACTGAAAAAGCTTTAGTATTGTGGGTAAATGGCGGCCAGAAGGGGGGACCGACAATGATGTTGTACAGGTGGAGGAAGCGGAGGGATATTGGTATGATCCTTTAGAGTGTTGTCATGCAGAGGAAACAATGAAGGTGAATGCGATTGAAGCTGGACCCCAACCTTCAAATTGGGTCCTTCAAAAAATTCAGGATTTCAGGAAGGTGGTGGCCTGTCTTGCGATGGATATGAAAGTAGACTCATGTAATTGTTCGAGAAACTGGAGGCTAGTAGGGGGCCGGGGATGAGCATACAAGTAGGCAAAGCAAGAATGCAGGGTGTTCGCGAACTTAAGCTGCTCGAATGGTCTGTTAATTATGATGCTAAGGGTGACTAGTTAAGGAAATGATTGCTGGGGAAGGATGACGGAGCGTTAAAATGACCCCAAAACTTATTAGCTGGAATGTGAGGGGGTTTAATGAAGTTGAGAAAAGGTTAGGTGTTCGAAATTTGTTAAGGGGATGGACGGCGAACCTTGTTTGTTTGCAAGAAACTAAATTGGAGTTCGTCTTGAGGGCTGTGATTAGTAGCTTATGGGGGGAACAGCATGTAGGATATCAGTTTTTTGGGTCATCGAGGGTATCAGGAGGTATGCTTATCATGTGAGACACTAGAGTATATGATATAGAGGACGTTAGTGTAGGGTCATACTCGCTATTGCTCTCGTTTAAAAATATTGGGGATGGATTCCATTGGATGTTTATAGGAGTTTATGGACCTAATTCCGATGAGTAGGGGTTTTGTGGGATTACTTGACTGGTATGATGGCTTGGTGGAATCTCCTAACGTGCATTGGGGGTGATTTTAACGTGGTTCGATTTCCTACTAAAAGGTCGAGTGGTGGTAGACTAACTGGGGCTATGGAGGAATATTCAGATTTTATTAGAGAGAATATGTTGGTCGATATGTCTATGATTGGGGGAGACTTCACTTGATCATCTAATCGGGACCAACCTGTTCTATCTCGTATAGACCGGTTCTTGGTTAGCCGAGAGTGAGATGCTAAGTATTCAGATGTTAGATTGGAGAGGCTGTACTCTGATCATTTCCCACTTTTATTAGCTGGGAATACTAGGGGTAGTAGAATAAGGCCTTAGGTTTGAGAAGATGTGGTTAAAAGTTGAAGGTACTAAAAAGGGATTTAAAGAGGTGGAACGAGGAGGTGGTGAGCAATGTGAACTTTCGTAAAGTCCAGTGTCTTTCAGACATTAAAGAGCTAGATAAGTTTGAGGAGAGTCGAGAGTTGGATGGGGAGGAGAAGGAGAGATGTGGATTATTAAGGGAAGAGATAGTGAGGTTGGTGGGGATAAAGGAGATTGCTTGGGGCCAGAAATCTAAGGTCACGTGGTTGAAAGAGGGGCACAAATGCACTAAGTTTTTCCATAGGGGTGCCAATTCTAACAAGCGGAATAATTCTGTCACAGTGTTGGAGGTAGATGGGGCTACTTA